GGAGATAGATCGAACATGCAATCAAGATGCATTGATAATAATGGGTGACTGGAATGCAAAAGTTGGGAACAGAGAAGAAGAATCAGTAGTTGGAAAACATGGGAAGAATCATTAGGGAGGCTTAATATTAGGAGTTTAAGGGGAAAACAAAAAGGCCAGCTGCTGACTGGGGAATAGACCATCAATTACTCATGTGAAAGTTCAAATTGAAGTTAAAGAAAATTAAATCATCACGAACCAAAGTACAGCTTTGGGTCTATTCTACCTGAATTCATCTCAAGAATAGGTTTGAGGCAGTGAACACGAATTGTTGAAGAACTTTCCTCAATTAGTATTTGATAACTAACTTCCCTTATTTTATAAATAAGACTAATCAGGCACATGAAGTTTAGTGACTTGCCAGTGGTCACACAGCAGGAATATTTTTAGAACACATTTTCTATTTCCTAGCTCTTTGTTCATGACTTCCTTTCTCTTTTACTGTTCATTGTGGGTTTTGTGTGCTTTTTTTAAAAATCTGGTATAAGCTCTTCTAAAGATTAGCCTTCTATAGTGTTTCTAACCAGTGAGATCCCCAGTATAACTTTTTAAGACTTAAAATGCTTGTTTTTCTGTACCTATTTTCCTGATATTAATAGATAGTATGAAAACAGCAACTACAACAATCTGTTTATCCAGTAGAGGGAGCCCTAGAAGATCAGATAATTGTTAAAATTGCAAATAAATTCAAAAGATCCTATAGATCATTGTGGAGGCTGGACTTTATGAGAAGGAATGTGGCATCATGATTGGGGGAAGGGAAGATTCATGAAAAACCTGCATTATATAGATGACACAGCCTTGCAGAAACTGAGGATGACATGAGGTGTTTGCAGCAGAAGGTCAGGTACAGTAGTTTTCAAATGGATTGAAACTTAAGGTCAAGAAAACAAAGATTCTCACCACTGGGCCAATTGGCAGCTTCATGATAGAGGGAGAAGAGATTGAGATTGTTAACAGCTTCACCTTGCTTCATTCCACAATCAACACTCTTGGCACCAGGAGTCAGGAAATCAAAAGATGAATGGCATTGGGAAACGCTGCTGTCGGGGACATCTTTGGAGTATTAAAGAGCAGTGGTATCATCCTGGAGACTAAGGTGTGCCTGATCCAGGCCATGGTCTTTGCAGTTACTTGCTTTGCTTCTGAGAGTTGGACAATGAATAATGAATCGATGCCTTTGAGCTGTGGTGCTGGAGAAGAGTGTTGACTGCCAGGAAAACAAACAGGTCTATCCTGGGGTGGGTGAAACCAAGCTGTTCCTTGTAGGCATTGATTTTGAAACTCCATCTCTCATACTTCGGGCATGTGGGCTGGAGGGACTAGTCCTTGGAGAGGGACATCATGCTTGAAAGTTTGGAGGGACAGTGCAGGAGAGGAAGACCCAGGATGAGATGGATTGACTCAGTGACTGGAGAAATGGAATGAGGTCTGTTGGAGACGATGAGATTGGCTGAGGAAGGGCAGAGTTGGGAGCTAGTGTACAAAGGGTTATGAGTCACACGTAACAGCGCATAACAACTTAAAACTACATGCTCGGAAAGCAAAAGAGAGGAAGATCCTCAGCGAGATGGATTGATAAAGTGACTGCAGCAGTGAACTTAGGTATGTCAGAGATGATGGTGAGGGTGCAAGATAGGACAGGATTCGGATCTGTTGTTCATAGGGTCACTGTGAGTCATACTTGATAATACATACCTTATTTCTACAGTTTAAAAACATCAGTTTTGTTCTTGACAATGAGAATTCTCACTTCATATTTACCTAAAAATTTGTTGATGCTTTTTGTTGAAGGTGGCACAGTAGAGCAAATAATTACTACGTTTTAGCAGATGAGCCAGGATAGTATTGTGCGTAATGCATGGACTGCTGACCACAAGATCAGCAGCTTAATTCTACCAGCTCCTTGAGGGAGAACAATGGGCAATCTCCTATAAAGCTTTATACTCTTTAACATCCTTTGAAGGGTAGCTGTGAGTTGGATGGACAGTGGGTTGGGTTGGGTTGGGTTTGTTTGCTTTGCTAGTACTTAGGCCAGACATATGTTGATGAGGATTATAAAAAAAAATCTATTAGTGCTCGCTTCGGCAGCACATATACTAAAATTGGAACGATACAGAGAAGATTAGCATGGCCCCTGCGCAAGGATGACACGCAAATTCGTGAAGCGTTCCATATTTTCGACCCTGAAATTAACCAGTCTGTAACGAAGGCTAAACTCCTTTCACCTACAAATTTCATCTTTGGATACAAAGCTAAGTGGATAGTCCTTACAGAGGGACTGTTTAAAAAGAGGCAGGGAAAAGAAAAAAAAAAATCTATTAATAGGATAATCAAGCTATACACTTGAACAATAGAACCAGATGTTCATTATCTTCAAAAAGGATGAAAATTATAGAGGCAAAACAACATTTTCCCTTTGCTTCTCTGTAGGGTTCAGCACCACCCCCTTCTCCAACACCCAACAAAGAGATGAAGAACAAAGCTGTTCTTTGCAAACCTTTAACAATGACAAAAGCTACTTACTGTAAACCTCACATGCAGACGAAATCTTGTCAAACAGGTAACTTAGGAAAATTTGACTTAAATACTTTATTATGTTTACATTTCAACCTTGCCGGGATGTAAACAACTGGGTTAGTGGGGGACAGTGACTTGATACATTATTTTGCCCCTGAAATAATGATTGTAGATAGTTGTCACATTTCTCTTTTGTTTATTTTTCTTATATATTTTTAGACATTACCTTGCAAATAGAGCATATTATTCTTAAGATTGTATATATGGTGAACCAATATTCTGATAAAGTCTTAAAGTGTAAAATACCTTAAAAATAAGATCCTGTATCAGAAATTCCTTTGGTTATAAGTTCACTAGAAACAGTGTTCTTTTTGAGAAAAATCATCTCTTTTAATTTGGTCATTAAGAGGATTCTGTTCCTTTCTGTTATAATGAGGTGAAGTAGCTTTATATATGTATTCTTATCAGATTTATGTTCACTATATTATAGTTGTTTAATAAAGCTTTTAGAAAAGGTGATGTATGTGATAAGGGTCTGGAGCTATATAATGTTTTTAAAGATAAAGTTAGAACAAGTACTATTTTTTGTTTTGTTTTGAGTTTGTTAAGTTGTCTAATCTTGTGAAACGTGAGAATTTCTTTAAATGATAGCATTTAAGTATTTTCTTTGTTATTAAATAACTTTAATTTTATTATATAACAAAATACCAGTTAACATTATTCCTTAATTTTATGTAATTTGTGTTTTCAGATGATAATTGGAAGACAGAATATGTTCCAGTGCCTATTCCTGTACCTGTGTATATCCCAGTACCTATGCACATGTACAGTCAGAATATTCCTGTTCCTACCACAGTTCCTGTTCCTGTAAGTCAAATTTTGGCTTCATTTTCATTTTGAGATTTATCATGCCCAAGGGAGAAAATCAGTTTTATTATAATTACTGGCCACCTGAAGCCAATAAAATGGCTTTGAGTCTTTTGCATTTCTTCAACAGGTAATTTACAGGTAGTTCTGTTGTCATGATTTCTATGTGTTTTATTAGCTGTATGTTTATTGTTGAGGTATAACCTTAAGAGATATCTGTCTTATGCTTGTTTTAGTCCATATTTGAGTTTAATATGTTACACTATTTATGAAGCCATAAGTTTTAACTCTGAAACATAAACTAGAAAATGTCATGAAAACATTATTTCATTCGCAAACTCACTTAATATTTCAGACACTGTATCTGAGCTTGACCATGGTAAAAGCCCTGGGGAAGAGAACACACTCAGACTCATTTTTGTTTCCATCTTTATTTTAGTAGGTAGTAGCTTGTAATTTGAGCTTTCCTTTTCCTGCTTAACTTATTAGTTTGGTTAAGTACTTTCTTAAAGCTCTTGTCCAGAATAGTAATAGAAAGTAAACCAGTGTCAGAGTAATTGTTCATTAGATGACTATCTTGTAATGTTTACTCAATCTTAAAGCAAGTAACTTTGTTTATTAGGTTCCAGTTCCTGTTTTTTTGCCTGCCCCATTGGAGAGCAGTGAGAAGATTCCTGCAGCAGTAGAGGAGATAAAAAACAAAGTATCGTCAGATTCTCTTGATACGGAGTTGCTCACAATGACAGATATAATGACTGAAGAGGAGGGAAAACCAGAAGCTACCAGCATCAACAGTGAGCTATACCATATTCTCTTGTGAATAAGTATATCATTGTTTTTATGTATTAAAAGTTGTTATTGTACTTTTCTAGGACATATAGTTGTGTTTTATTTTGATATAGAACTGGGAACAAATATTGAAACAAAAAGATTATTTACACTAACAGTCCCATTTATGTTTAGCCATGTGACTTTTTTCCCCTCAGTCAAATTTTAATCAGGAATTTATATAGCTTTCATGTTAATAACATTTGAGTTATAAAATCAACTTCATATTATTATTAATGTAGTGGCACAGATACAAAACTAGTTAAAGTCATTGCTAATAATTCAGACTCGTGTTTTATTATGTTGCTGCTAGATACCATCGAGTTGAGTACAACTCAGAGCAACCCTGTGAAAAACTGATTTGGGGCCTAGCCTATCCTGTGCCATCCTCCCACTTCTTGAGTCACATTAGAGATCATTAAGGCAGTCACCATGTCATTTAACCTGGTCGCAGGTCTTCCTCTACTTTGCTAACCCTCTTCATGGCCCTCTCCAAGATACAGCTCTCTTAGCAACATTCCTGAAGTATGTGAGCAAAGCCACATTATCTTTACTTCCAGAGAACACTGTCCAAGACACATTTGTTTTATTATTAGTGCCTCCTTAATTTTGGTTGGTTATTTTTACATTATCTAAATTCAAGTTTATTGAAACTCTTTAAAAAAGAGTGTTTACTGAATGGTGCATTATGAATGAATTATAAGTGGCCTAGAGTATTTATCCTCTGGTGACACTTGAAGCTCTATTTCAGCCATGAGCTTCCTTATTCCCTTTGCCTAGAATATAAAAGCATTTTCTTTTTATTGCATAATAGAATATTTGTGAAGCACTGTGTTAAGAAGTTGTAAAATTAATTTAGTGTGTTAGAACCAGTAATTTTTTTAAAATCACACATATTTTAGGATTTTAGGTTGTTTAAAATCTGGAAAAGGCTTTTTTTTAAATTTGAAAATATCTCCATGTTTTTATGTGTACAATTCTTTCTGTTTCCTACCTTCATCCTGTATGTACTGTGTCAGACCAAATGAAACTTATTGTTAGTAAGTCAATTCTAATTCACAGTGATTCTATAGGACAGACTACAAATGCTCAAGGGTTTCCAAAGATTAATCTTTACAAATGCAGATGACCACATCTTTGTCTTGAGTGATTTGTGGGTTCAAACTGCTGTCCATTTCAATTAGAAGCCTGGTAAAGCCTGGTATTTTAACCACTGAGCCACTAAGACGACTCCTTATACTGTGTACTAGAGAAAAGTTTGAAAGTAACAGATTGACTCTATTTTAAGGTATATTTTATTTTAATAATATATATAAGGTATATTTTATTTTAATAATATATTTTAATATATTCTCATTAACTCATAGCAATCAAATTTCAAAAAGAAAGTTGAAAATTATACACCCTTATTAGTTTGTGACGAGACCACTTTTAGAAACACTGGAGATAGCAGCACTGTTTTATAATCACAGCAGGGATAAGTTTATAGAATTAAAACTTTTGATGTACTCAGATAAGAGTAGGATTCAATAGACTTGTTCATGGAGTTTCTATGTAAATATTTTTAGAAGGAAATTACCTTATCTTTCCCCTCCTAGAGTGGCTGGTAAATTTGAACCAGTCACCTTTTGGGTAGCAGCTGCATTCTTTAACCACTATGTCATCAGAGCTCCATAATTATCTAAATGCAATGATAATAATTATCATTAATTATAGGAGGTTAATTTACAAAATGCTCTTTTCTGTTTTAACATGTTTATAACCCACTGCCATTCCCACCCAGAGGCAGCTCCCACTGGCTTTCCGGTTGGAGCAGATTGCCTCATTCTTCTCTTACTGAGTGGCTGGTGGATTTGAGCTGCTGACCTTTTAGCACTGCAGATGGGATCAATCATAGCCCCAGGACTCCTTAACATGTTAATAGTTAGAAATATTTGTTCTTGTCTTCAATTTGCAATTAAATGACTCCTTTTGGCCAAATTTAATAAGAATTCCACTAAGATACTCTGTCTGGATTTCTAATGCTATTATGCATCTATTATAGGTGTAATTATTGAAGCAGATATCATTGGAACTGATATCTTGAAGAACTCTGATACAGAGACACAGTCTAGTATGCCAGATGTACCATATGAACCAGATTTGGATATTGAAATCGATTTTCCCAGAGGTATGGGGGGGAAAAAACCCATATTCTTTTTTCTTTATTGGGTTAGATAATTTATTACAGTGGCCACTAACAGACAATACTTAAAATTCAGCATAAACAACAACCATATAAAATTCTTCATTCAAGTCAGTCTTTAATAAAGCACAATGGAGATTGAGGAAGGCATAGGATCAGGCAAGGTTCTGTTGTGTATAGAGTCATTATGATTTGGGATCAACTCATGAGCATTTCTCTTGTTCATAGGGTTTTCAGAGGCCTGTTATTTAAGAAGTGGATGGCTTCCAGGGTGAAAACCCCATTTTTAAAAATGTGTGCACGTGATTGTAGAATTAGTCATAACTCTAAGCATGCAAATGCTCGTGCCATTGCTATAATTTAAGATTTCTTGTTGTTACATGTGCTAGCAAGTTGGAACTGACCCATAGCTTGAACTGCAACAGATTTTTAAAGACTAAATGTCATAGGAGGAGGTTGCCTATCTTTCTCCCCTTTAGCAACTGGTGGATTTGAACCACCTGCCTTTGAGTTGACAGCACAAGATCTTAGATGTTAATTTCTTGTAGAATGTTTTGAAGATACAGAATGTAGATATTAGCATTTTATTGGTACATATAGGAAATTTACATTCACTTTGAAAGGAAAAATATTATTTTCACGTCTTTTTGGTTTTTGATCTTTCAGTGCCTTCTGAACAAATTAAGCACAACTGTTACTTTTGCAAAAAGACTTTAGATTGCAACATTCTTATTGACTATTTAGACCTTTTAGTTGATCTTCTGATTTTGATACTTCATTGCTCATGTCTGATAATTTTGCTTTGGTATTCATTGTACAGAACTTGAGAGAATTCTAGTAGGCTAGTCCTTTGGGATTTGTGCTCCTAACCCAAAGGTCCTAACCTCTTTGGTTGTTAAAATTTACTAGCAGCTCTGTGAGAATAAAAAATAATAATTTCTTTATCCATTTATTTTAGGGGAATATACAGTCAAGCAGATTAACAGTTTCTGCATTTATAATTAATTAGTTGACATTATTTTCTTCAAGTTGTGAAGAAAAGTTACCTTTCATAGAGATGTTGTCCTTTTGAGACTGACATTGTTCCGCATTATGGTTTCAGGGCTCATTCATGTTGCGGCATGTACTAAGACGTTATTTCTTGAATGGCTAAGTAATGGCCTAATGGAAGTTATTTCTAAGTATGGCTAAGTAATATTTCATTGTATAAAGCACTTTATATCTAACCATGCATCTGTTGGTGGACATTATTACTACATTTTGGCTTTTGTAAAAAGTGCTCCTGTGAATATTAGTGTACAGGCTTTTGTTAGCTTTCCTGCCTTTGTATCTTCTAAATATATACCTAGGATTGTGATTGTGGGGTCATGTGGTAGTTTCATGTTTTAAATTTTTGAAGACCGTCCAAATTCTTTGCCACAGTTAACTACACTTTTTAAATTTTTTTTTTTTTAATTTCTACGTGGAATGATAAATATTCTGACTTCTCCACAGCCTTGCCAATACTTTCTGGGTTTGTAGAGGTTTTTTAGATTGTTATTCCAGTAGGGGTGAGTTTTGACATGTATCTTCCTGCGTGCCACATTGGGGTATTAAAAATGTCTGATTTGAATCTGCCTATAATTCCATGGAAGACAGATGAGGCAATCTGCTCCATTGAGATTAACAGCCTTGCGAACCAGCTTAAAGGTCACCAGGAATCATATCTACTCAATGACAGTGGGCTTTTTTTTAAACTGACTAGTGATGTGAACATTTTTTCAAATGTTGGTTGACTGTTTGATGTGATAAAATGTCTGGTTAAGTCTTTTGTTCATTTTTGGATCCAGTTTATGTTTTGTTACTAAGTTATACAAAATATCTTTCGAAGTTTGAACAGAGTTGTTGAGCTCTCATAGATCAGGTTAGGGACAGTAAATTAGTTTATGTCTCACTCCAGTGTGTGTTAGCTCTCTATACTGGATATTTATTAACATTTTTTAGTTGGGATTTTTTTTCTACTGCATTTATGTATCATAATCCTATGATAAAATTTACTCTTATTTTCAGCGGCTGAGGAGCTTGATATGGAAAATGAATTTTTGTTACCACCTGTATTTGGAGAAGAATATGAGGAACAGCCTAGACCTCGATCTAAAAAAAAGGTACAAAACTGAATGGTATTCTTGTAGTTACCTGACAAATTTATTTAGACATAGAGAAGGTTATTGTGATGTTTTGACATTCCTAAGGATGTGGGAATATATTTTTCCTCCCACAAGTTAAAAGGAAAAATTAATTTCTGAGTAACAAAAATGTTTTAAGATTTAGTTGTTGTTGTTAACCTACTGGATAATAAACTTATCTGTCATTTTTCAAGCTTGACAGCACATATTAAGAATACTTAGACCATCTTAGCCAGTTTGATCATTGAAGTAGACAAAATCTAAATATTTTAGTAGTGGTTTTCTGTTTCAATTCAGTAATTGTTTTAATATTTTATCAACATATTCCTCCTTTTCAGCCCCCGCAATAAAAAGAAACTAAGATTTGGATTGTAAGAATTAAAATTGAATGAAGGGAACAGCATGTGCAATAAAGGAATAATTAGACATTGTAAATTAATTACATTCAAAATGCAAACTCATCATAGTCCAGTTGGAACCATCTTGATGTTTTTGATTATCATTATTGTTGATAATGTTGCTGTTTGGAGACTCTAAGTGGCACAGGAGGATGTTATTTCTGTTTGTTCTGAGAAGCCACTGGTGGGTCCAAACCATCAGAAAGGCAATGCCTTTGCTTAGCAGCTAAACCCCGGTGGACGACACCACCAGAAAATTCATAGGAGAGAAACACACTGTCTATTAATACTTGAGTAAAACACCAGTGGTTTGTTAATTCACTCAAAAGTTTAGAAAGTTGAAAAGACAATGTAAGGGAAAAGGGCATGTAGAGAAACTGAGAATGAAAAAGAAAGATTTGATCTATATAAAAGTTTTACAATTCTGTTAAAGGTACATGAAGATAATGAAAGAAAGGTGAAGTGGTAAAGCTCTTTAGTTTCATCTAGTTAGGATATTTCTCCCTTATATTAATATACAAGGTAATTTTATTTTATTTTTTTTTGTAATTTTATTTCTAAATAATTTATTAATGTCTGTATTTGGTTATTTTCTTTAATGATTCACAACAGAATATATAGTATGTTTTTGTTTTATGGAATGATTTGGTATAAGTATAAATATACCATATCTGGTATATTTTTGAATATGTCATAATTCAAATTTAGGATTACCATCTAGTTCTAAGCATAAAAAGTATTTTTTTAAAAATTTCCTTTTGTTGAGACAGTTTTCATAGAGGAATGAGATTATTGGAGTTAAAAAAGATTTTTTCAGTAGTCTTTTTTAAAAATAGGGAACAAAAAGAAAAGCTGTGTCAGGATACCAGTCTCACGATGATAGTTCGGACAATTCAGAATGCAGTTTTCCTTTCAAATACACATATGGTGTAAATGCATGGAAACACTGGGTCAAAACTCGGCAACTTGATGAAGATCTTCTGGTATTAGATGAGCTAAAATCTCGTAAGTAATTTTATTTAATTGCCCCCGGTCCTATTTAAAAATCACTACTTTGGTATCAACTACCTTTTTAATTAATTTTGAAAATATAAATATTGATGGAATATGTTTAAAACTCTGAGAATAGACTTTATTCTGCTTTAAAGTTCCTGTGTGGGATAAGTAATCTCAGGAAGTTTCTTGACTCTAAGAACAGTATATAATAACTACTGATTTTAAAATTTTTTCAGCTAAATCAGTAAAGTTAAAAGAAGATCTACTCTCTCACAGCACAGCTGAACTTAACTATGGGTTGGCCCATTTTGTCAATGAAATCAGAAGGCCAAATGGAGAAAATTATGCACCTGACAGCATCTATTATCTTTGTCTTGGAATACAAGAGGTTTGTAATTTAATGCTATTTTAACTATAATTTTAATATTCAGTGCTCAAGTGAATGACCACTAGTATAAACAATAGAGGTTAGAACTCTTCCCAGGGGTCCATCAGGAGTTAGTCCTAGTGACTGACTTCAGAAAGATCACAGCCTTGAAAACCCTGTGGAGCAGCTGTACTTCACCTACAAGTTGTGTCTCAGCAGTAGCATTAATTAGAAAAAAAAAATTATTAAGGTTATTCCTGACATAAGAAAGTAATTTGTTATCCTACGTTTTTAGCCTATTACTTCCCTTATAAATCCCATAATTGTGGGTTGGAGCTGAGGGTTGGGAGGGAGGACTTTTAAGGGTGGCATATGGAACGCTGAGATTTGGTGGTTTATTAAGAAAGGCAATGAGGAATTGAATCTGTTTGGATACTGGGGTGTTGTTTTTAAGGTCCTAGTTATTCTGTAGGAGCTCTGGTTATGTAGTTCTTAGGGAGTTACAATGCTTACCCAAAGGCCAAGCCTCTCACTGTCAAATCTACTACTTTTCTCCCTTAGGGAGAAAGATGGGCAGTCTCCTCCCTTGCAATATACAGTGTTGGAAACCCAGAGGAGAGGCAGCTATGTCAGTTCTGATTCAAGAGCAGTGAGTTTGAACTTCAGTTTCAGTTGCTTTATATGTAGATACTTCTGCTATCATGCAACATCTTTAAAATTTTCCACTAAACTAAAACAACAACAACAACAACAAAAATAGTTGATGGGGGAAATATGGTTAAGGGCAAACCACTCCAAATGTATGCATCTTTTGTAACTGACTTAACAAACCTGTAATTAATTATAGTGTATAGTATTAAAAAGTGTGTAGGTATCTTAGTGGAAGCAGCTGTGAGGAATGGTAATAGCTTCTGAGTTATAAGATGAATTTAATAAGCTCATGCAAGAGTAAGCCCCAGGAATCGATGGGCTATCAATTGACCTGTTTTATCTAACATGCAGCTATGAACGGGCTTACTAGTCTTTGCCAGGAAATCTGGAAGACAGCTACCTGGCCAACTGCCTGGAAGAATTCTGTATTTGTTGCCATTCACAAGAAAGGTAATTCAACAGAATGTAGAAGTTAATGAACAAACATCATTAATATCACATACAAGCAAAATATTACTGAAGATCATCCAAAAATGGCTAGAACAGTACATTGACAGAGAACTGCCAAAAGTTCAAGCTAGATTTAGAAGAGGCCTGGCACCTTTATTGGGTTATCATTCATAGGGATATCATTGCTGATGTCAGATGGATCTTGGCTAAAAAGGGACTATACCAGAAGGATATCTATTTCTGGGGTTTTGGTGTTTTGGTTTTGTTTTGTTTTTTAAACTGTATGGATCATGACAAACTGTGGCTAACATTGAGAAAAATGGGAATTCCAGAACACTTAATTGTGCTTATACCTAGACCAAGAAGGTGTTGTCTGAACAGAGTAAAGGAATGCAGTGATGGTTTAAAAGTCAAGAAAGGTGTGCAGCAGTGTTGAATCCTTTCTCCAGTCCTGTTCATTCTATATGCTGTGCAAATATTCAAGAAGCTAGACTTTATGAAGAAAAATGTGACATCAGGATTGGAGGGAGACTCATCAAGAGCTAGCATTGGGCAGATGACAGCCTTGCTGGCTGAAAGACAGGAGGTCTTAAGGTGTGCTAAACGACTGTAGCCTTCAATATGGATTACATTTTAACATCAAGAAAACAAATCCTCACCACTGGACCAATAAACAACAGCATAATAGATGGAAATTAACATTATTGATAATTTCATCTTACTTGGATCCATAATCAGCACCCCGGTACCAGCAATCAGGAGACATAAAAATTGCATTGGGCAAGGTGGCTGTCAGGGACCTTTCCAAATTACTGAGGAGTAGAAATGTCAGTAGAAAGACTAAAGTGTGCATGATTCAAGCCATAGCCTTTCCAGTCATCTGCTTTGCATCTCAGAGCTAAACAATTAGTAAGATTTGACAGGAGAAAAATCAGTGCCTTTAAGTTGTAATATTGGAGAAGAGTACTGAATAATCTCATGGACTGTCAAAGGAACCAACAAATATGTCCTGGAGAAAGTACAGCCAGAATATTCTTTAGAAGCAAGGATAGAGAAGCCGTATTCACATACTTTGGCAAGTTATTGTTCAGTACCATCAAGCTGGAACTGATTTACATTTGACCGTACAGCAGGTTTTCAGAGGCAGCCCATCATTCTACTTTGAAGCACCTGGTGAATTTGAACCGTGTGTCTCTGGGCTATCAGTGGAGCTTTATCATAAGGAGGTACTACTGTTCCTTGGAAAAGAACATCATTCTTCAAAGGAAAGGAAGACTCTCACCAAAATGGATTGACGCAGTGACAGCATCAAAGGCCTCATGTGTGTCAGAGATGATGAGGATGGCGCAGGCTAGGACAGGGTTAAGATGTTCTGTTCTTGGTGTCACTATGTGTATGGCACATAAAAACAACAGTAACATTCAAGAGTAGGAAACTAGTCACCTGCCAACAGTTAGGATCCAGTAGCTGCTCCGCAGGACAAAGATCAGTAACTTCCTCCCAATGTGATTTACAACCTTTGAAAATCTGTTGGAAGGCCAGCAGTGAGTCAGTTCCAGCAGAATGTCACATAACAACATCAGCCAAGACTATGTGACTAATCTGAGCTAAGAGGACGTAACTGTTTTTTAAGCAAGTATTCAATCTTTTTGTCCTGAGTTTAGCTGTTAACAAAGTTTAAAATCCTTATAATTGGGAAGCTTAAAACATGACTATCCTAAGAAAAAAAAATAATGGGTTACAATCAAGATAGGGAGTACTGGTGGCCTAGTAGCTGCACTGCAATTCTGATGGCACATGATTTGAATCTGTGAACTGCTCCTCAAGACAAGGGTGGGCAGTCTCCTCCCATACTACTAACTGCCTCTGAACACCTGCCAGAGGGTCAGCTATGGGGTGGTTCTGACTCGATGGCACACAACAACAAATCAAGATAGTGAAATTCCTCCTTTACCAGAGGCATATAAATTAATTTCACATTATAAAACGTGATATGTAGGTATATCTGACTGCAATTCTGTGCTGGTTTACCTGTCAACAGTGTGTAGTTCTGTTAATAGTAGGTCTGGTTTCACTATACATCACTGAAATATTTCCAATTTGTTAAATAGTATAGCCATTAAGTAAGTGGTTATTTGAAATCAGGATTTCTCAAAAGCAAGTCCTCAGTTTATATATAAGCTTCTTCCACATGTTTGTGAATCCCAGAGTGTTTAATTTTTACAGTGGACATGAGGATCAACTTTATCTAATGACTCTTAATAAAAACAGATTATATGAGTTTGATTCCCAAGGTCAAAAGGATTCTGGTTTCACATTTTCCAATGTAGTAGATGACTTGGGGTAATAGTTCATATAGCTTTCGTTTACAGGCCCCAAATATTCTACAGCTAAAATGTGATTTTCATACTCATTGAGGCAGAATTGACTAATAGCTGATCCTTCCTCCAGAGCTTGTGAATCACATGGGAGAACAGTGCCTGTCCTTCTACCTTGGAGCGGCTGGTGGATTCGAGGTGCCACCTTTAGGTTAGCAGTGCAGCTCTCGACCTGCTAGGCTACTATAGCTGTTTTAATGAGGGTTAGATACTGAAATAAGTTAACAGATGAAAACTAGAATTTTTTTTAACTTTATATCCTCTTCAAGATGGAAATCTTGTCTTAGATTGTATCATTCTTTTTTTTTTTTTTACCAGCGAACCCGTCTTGTTCTTTATTCTGTGCTTTGGGGGGTGGGGTGAGATTGTATCATTCTTAATCAGTGATACTCGTTGCCACTAAGAATTGACTTACAACTGATCTTCCAGCAGTTTTCCAAGGTTGCCCATTGGGTTAACAGCACAAACCCCTGTGGAGTATTGTCATCTCAACTCTCCATGATTATGTGAATAACTCTGATTTCTGTGGTGTCAGTCCCACCTAATAGCTGAGAGCGCCATAAAATTACACAAATAGTGGTGAGAAAATGGCATATGTGACATTTTTGTGTTTTGTTCTTGTGTTCTGTATCAGATTCACCTTTTGACACTTAGATTTGTTGCTGTTGATTCCAGCTTATAGCTGATCCTCATCAATTTCTGAGGCTCTCACTCTTAGCAGGAGGAGATTGTTTATCCTTTCCCTTAGAGCTGCTGGTGGATTCAGGCTGCTACCTGTTTTACTTGCACTCATTAGGGCCCTCCTTCCCCCCTCCTTGTTGAATTTAAATGCTGACAGCATTATTTTCTGTCTTAGAGAGAAAGCACTTAAGCTTTCCCCATTAAATAGGATTTTGTAATTTTACATTCCAACCTGAATGAGATCCACCCTCTAGCGTGCACAGCATTTTTAATTAGAAATTGTGTCCATTGCTTTTCCAGACTCAACTGAGATACTCCTCTGACTTTTAAAAATAATTTTTTAGATGTTAAACCAGTCTTACATTCCCGAGATAGACTTTGTGAAATGATGATATATTGTCCTGTTTCTATAATGGTGGGTTAGATTTGCTAGTAGTGTGTTAAGGATTTTCATCTGTGTTCATGCAGGATACTGGTTCATG